GTTATATCATCTTTACCAATGGAGAGATGGCCACTAGGGAATAGAGGTTTGGAGAAACACGTTTCCTCATAAGCTCCTTTAATAGTGTACTCCCTGGGAATCTTGTCCCCTTATTAAGTAGGCTAAATCCATGTGAGTGCAATCAACGTGGCTGGATGCAGGATGAATAATTGAAGTCCCAAGAAGTATATTGCAAGCTGTTTGTCAAGTGTGAAATCTCCCTGTGGTCAGAGATAACAGCTCTCTTCCCTGTGTGTGACTTTAACAACGCTATAAAGTGGGATCCAAAAACCCAGCAGAAGGAAGACATGATTTCCCGCTGAATCCTAATGAAGCTGATATTTGCTAGTGTGGCTCAGGAAGAGTGGAGCCAAGTGTGTGGGCTGGTTGGTGGAAGAGCTCATTCATTCCAGGGCAGCTTGGAGTGCTCGGCACAGAACATGATTTCTTACTTTGTACAGATCTGAGGAAAGGGGACAAGAACCAATCCCCCTAACTCAGAGCTTTGGACAGATGGGCTCACCAAATCAAAACAAACCAAGGCAAAACAAAAATCAGGAAAAACTTGCTACCATACCAACTTCTTTCTCTACCTTTTGATGGAGAGAAATGGGATTGTGGGCTAAGCCAACATGTTTGATGAAAAACATTTTTCGTAAGAAAACAGAAGGTGAAGTGATGCTCTCTATAAATCCCATAGAATGTTGTGGGACATACTGATGACTAAGTGGTGGGGACTTTGCTTTTTCCAACCATTAGTTGACCTACCTGAATGAATCGAATAAACTTTTTTGCCATATTCTCACTAATTATTGCTCTAAATATAAGCTATATGACTACCATCATTCTATACCAATAAGAATTCTCATATGCCAAAAAGCTAACTAATTATTTCAAGGTTGTTAGAATAATAAATAATACTTATCAGACTTAAAACTTCCATTTTTTTCCTTAGCAGGTTCTATTGAATTTCTCTTTTACCATAGGAATTTGTCCTTCCTAAGGAAATGTTCTTAGAATTCATGCTTGTATTCCCATGGTTCATCAGTTACCAGTTAATAATTATTAGCTCAAGTTGTTCCTCTCAGTCACCTCAGATTGTTTATTTACATAGACAATGGCTAAAATAGCTCCGTTATTAGACAGAAAAAATATTGGAAGTAAAGACGAAGTTTATTTTCTCAACATCTATTATTTTCTCTTAAGGCTCAAGGCTTACCTCACAGACCTGAAAGAACAAACATATTTAACCAAGCCCATAGCACATGGTACATTTTTTTAGGAAATGGTAATTGTGGTCAGATAAACACACATGCCAGTATATTGATTAGCTGTTGACTTGAACAGAGCATGCCACCAAACATGATGCAGAACTCAAATTTTCTACCTGCTTGCTTTTCATACCATCTGTCAAAATGGCAACCTGCCAAGTGACAGGCCTCTCTGGACCTCAGTTCCTTCCAGTTAACCATGAATCTGTGTTTTAACAGTGCAAGCATTTCACTTTCCACAAATGTTTTCTTTACTCCAGTCCTTGAAACCAATCATGTAACAACTTTCACTTCAAGGAATCATGTGATTTTATTTTAAGATTCTAAATGATATTTTATGTTGGGATGGTTTATAGTCCTGAAGAATTTTTAGCTATATTCTTGCCCTGCTGTTTGTTTTGTTTTGTTACTGGTACCTTTACTTTTGAGGAACATTTACTAATTTTAGAATAAGTTTAGAGGGAAAATATATTGCTTAATGCATTTTTGCATAAAAATATATATTATTTAATAATTCCAAGTGTTTGTTTGAATTTTTATCTAGATAACTTTCATTCTTACTCTTGGCTATAAACCCGTACAGACATGTCTTGAACTTGTGGACATATGCCACCTAAATTATTGATGAGTCTGCTTTATTTCACAGGATGTAAGAATCAACTGCTACAGCAACTTCCTCTTCTCACTAATGGGAAGACTGCAGTGTATGAGTACCTTTCTCTCCTGATGGAAGTCAAAATAACATTTACCTTTTCTAATCTCCATAGACTCTATAAGCTTTAGAGATGCCCCTCAATGTGAGCATTCCTCTGAAAGCTTTTCTGACTTAATTAATGGTATCAACATTGTGTTTGTGTGTGTATGCATGAGTACACACACATGTGTATTGGTGTACATGTGCAGATGTGTACATGTGTACAAGAACAGAAGCCACAAAAGAACATCTGGTGTCCTGCTCTATCACTCTCTACCTTTTTCCTTTGCGATAGGGTCTCTCACTGAACCTGAAGCTAAGCTGTTGGAAAGTCTCTACAATCTTTTCTCTGGTTCCCACAGTGCTGGGGTTATAGGCTTGCAGCAATGTCCTGATTTTTTTGTGAGTTCAAAGTGTTTGAACTCAGATTCTCATGCTTCTGTAGAAAGCATTCTTACCCACTAACTCAAATGTTTTTACTATCATTGTTTACTTAAATGTGTACTTTATGTAACCACCTCAGATTCAGAGGCAATGTTATACTCTTTTTCCCTGGTTAAAATAAAACAACTCATTTGGTTAAAACAGTATGCTGACCTGAGTTACATTTAGAGGTGTTTAGGTATTTTTGGATTCACGGTTGAATCTGAGCTTCGTATTACACTTGGAGAAACAAATTTACTTCTGTGTGTATGCTTTGTGGGAGTCGTTTGCACAACCTGAAAGTGGGAATGATTGCAAGCATAGAATGTGGGGATGAGGTAAAGCAAAATGAGGTAAAATACATATATGGCAAAACCAAGCTAAACCAAAACAACGTGTTAGCTATCTTTATTTTTGTTATTCTAGAAGATCTGTAACTTTTAACTTCCTTGAAAAAAATACTTTGCCTTTTAAAATCCTTTTTGCAACATTACTTTTCTTCGAAGACCAAGCAGAAAGGATAGTCCAACCCAAATCAATGATGAACAAGTAAGATAAAATTGCTTCTTCGGACAGAGTTGCGGAATCTTCATGTTGCAAAGGCAGCACATACTTTCCTTCATTTTCTTTTTATGTGTTGTTTCCTGACACTTGAATTCCTACAAAACTCAGAAGAGCATCTCCATAAGCTGGGGAAAATCTGTACAGTTGCTATAGGCCCCTCAGCATTGGCAGGAAATAAAGAAAAAGAATTCCCAAAAGGTTTGTCCGGCCCAAAGCGTTAACCCAAATAGTAGTAAACCCTGAAAGAATTTAATTTCAACAGCTGTGAACACATGCAGACACCAGCAGGAGGGCAGCAACATCATGAGTCACAGCACACTAGAAGTCTTTGAGTTTCCCAAGTAGAGAAAAGACCAAAACTTTCTCAACAGAGGTCTTGTCACAGCATCTCCGAACAATGTATCATTGAACATTTACAATTTAAGGAGAAGTAATCTGGCTGGAAAGTGAAGTTTGTGAAGTATAGGAATTATAAAATGATTAAAATTAATCCTTTTCTTTAGAATTTTAAAAAAGTTATTCACAATATTCACTGTATTATGAATGAAGATGAACTTATTATTTTATTTTTTAAAAATTAGTGTAATGCAATTTAATATATTTCTAATCCTAGCTTATTGAACAGACCCTCATCATTTACAAACTGATTATGTCTCAAATGAATAAAATGTAAACTTGGGTGCTGGAAGATGGAATGTATTTCTATTTTACATTCCTTTCAAAAATACTTGTTTCTTATTTTTATTTTATGTGTATTAGAGTTTTGCCTGTATGTATCAAAGTATGTCATATGGTGCAATGCCCATGGTGTTCAGAAGAGGGCATCAGATCCCCTGGAACTGGAGTTATGGGTGGCTGTTAGCTATCATGTGGATGCTGGGAACAGAACCTTATTCTTTCAAGAGCAGTACTTTTACTGGCTGAACCATCTCTCCCTCCTCTCTCTGTTGCACTCTTGATCATGGGTAGACTGACAATTTTTGAAGAACACTTATAGAAGTACATGATGTTGTATAACCAAATATTAAACAGCACAGTCTTAGTTACATAAAAATATAGTAGTTACTCAATGAATGTAACAATTTTAAGAGATGACAAAATGCAAACCCTTAGGCTTTAGTAGAGGAATTAACAAAGTGCATTTCGGTTTGAGATCTGAGAAAATTACAAGCAACTGGGTTTGAATGTGTATCTCTCTTAAATTACATGATTTGGATTGACTTGTGAACAAAATATAACAGAGACAGATAAATAGATGCCCTATAGAAATTAAAAACAAAGAAGAGCTAATACCAAAGCAATCAGAGGAGCCAAGATGAGAGGGAAAGGGGCTGGAGACATTGCTCAATGGTTAGAAACCTTGGCTGCTCTTGAAGAGGATCTGGGTTCAGTTCCTGGCACAAAATGGTGGTTAACAACCATTGATAACTGCAATTCCAAAAGATTCAAAACCCTCTTCTGGCATCCATGGGCATTGTATACACGGTGTGTACTTACATATCTGCAGGAAAAAAAACACTCATACACTTAAGTGTAAAAATAAATAAGTACTTTTTTTTAAAGATAGGGGAGATAAAAACTTTGGCATCCATGCAACTACCAACACACATGCTCTAAGAGTAGTGGTAGACTGACCATCCACTTCACTAGGGTGTTTTCCCTTGATTCCTGAATTGTGATATCACAAAGAGTCTGAATTATAAGTCAATTTTAGTCATACCCTGAAGTCTGTAAAGAGATATAAATTTCTTCTAGAAATGCAGGAGCAGAGTCTATGTGTTTTTATTCAGGAAAGAATTTAAGAAGGCATTCACAGCAGAGTCTTAATGCCTCAGTCTCTCAAAAGCTAGATGAAAGAAGTGACAGGCAGAAGTGTGGTACTTACAGGCCCTCAGCGAAACACTCAAGCAGCAGCGTCTCCCCTTTGAGGATGATCACTGAAGACTCTCTGCCACTTGCCGCAGGAGGCAACAGCAGCTTGGGTTTCCTTTGCTTGATTGAATTTGCTGGAAAAGAGATAATAAAAGTCTTTTTTTTTTCCAGTAAAGATAGTCAAAATGCGATGGTGCAATAGGCGCACCTCTAAATTTCAAGATACGTGTGCTTAAATAGACTTCTCTCTTCACATGAAGCATGTGCTGTCCCTCATCTATGTTGACTAAGTGCAGCAGCATCTTCTATAAACATTATGAGGTACACCAACTTCCGTAGGTGAGGTTCCTACTAAAAGCTAGAGTTCCTGGGGCCCTGAGTGCTGAAATTTGGACAGAGGAAACACACAGTAGATGCTAGGCAGCTATGTTCTCGTGAATTTCTTCAGGAAATTTCTTCCACTTTCAGGTCCTTTCATCCACATCACTTCAGGAAATGATTAGTAAGTATTCCCAATAACTGCTAATTTGCATCATCCACTTTTTTTCTTAATAATTTTCAAATTTACTTAAGACATCATTTTACTATGTTTTGATTTCATTTTCAAATGCTAACAAAAGTTGTTCTTTTTCTCATCCAGTGTCAATGTGATTTTATCTTATGCAGAAAGAAAATACATATCCGACTTTCTACTATCAGGAGAGAGAAACGTAAGGTACTGGAAGCGCTGCATCATCTGTTCTATGCGTCCTTATGTGTAACATATTATAAATGATTTTTGAAGACCTGCAATATGCAATGATCTTTTGTGTGGTTGAAAATGTAGCAATGCATTTGTAAGTTACTGATCTTGAAGAAAAGGATGATCATGAGTCATCTCACATGGAAACCAAGGACATCACAAGAGAAGCCTTCATCCACTGCTCTGATATCATCAGTGTGTTAGAAATCTTATTCAAGTCACTGGTTCTCATGGCATAAGGGGTATTTACTTCATTCATGTGTGTGATTTCACTATACAAAACAAGTTTGCTTTGTAACTCAAGCATCTTTTTTTGTAACTCAAGCAAGCTCCAGTAGATGTCCTATGCAAAAAATAAATTGAAAGATTTCATAGAAAAGTGAATTTGTCAGATATTGAAAACTACATTCTTTCACAGAGTTAGAATACATAGTGCTTATTAACTATTCTGAGAAGTCTTAAAAAGGAACAAATCAGTTAATTTTCTTAAACCTAGTGTTTCTTGACTTTTCTTGATATTTAGACATTTCTTTTCCTTTCCTTGTATAAAGCTATCAATTTTACACACCATTTGAGACAACCTGAAAGATCTAAAGTAATACTCAGTTTAGTATCTACATTAATAGCTACCCCTAACTCTACAGATATGTATCGTTTTTGCAAATTATATTACATGTAAATATATTTATGTAGTTATAAATCTACACAGACCATTCCCTTTACATATATTCAAGAGGATAGTGAATAATAGGATTATCTATGCCAAAGAGTTATACTTAATAGGAATATTAGAATTCTAATAAACTTTTGTAGGAAAAACTGTAGCTGAGGTGAAAATGAGTGATTTAAGGTGAGAAGAAGAATGCATGTGGTCTATACATGGTCACTTACCCTTGGAACTAATTTCTGTGGATGAACTTGTATCATTAGCATGCTTTACTGAAATAAAAAAGATGGAAGAAACTAATACAAACATAATGGTAGATGCTGACATCAATAAAGTATGAAAAGTCACAGGTATATTTTAGGAAAATAACAAGATGAAATCCAGTCATGCTCTAGAGTACTGTCTGTGGAATAAAATTTTATATAAAACATTGTGAGGTGCAAAATCTTGAATTACTACAGGTGAGTCCAGTTGGACACGGTTCAGGTAACAGCCCCATTATAGAGATTTGGAACACTGAAAGGGTATTATGTAGAAAACCCAACATAGCATATGTACACATAATAATGAAACAATCATGGATCAAATTAGATGATGAAATGGTCATGGGAAACTTCTGCTCTACCAGGGCCAATTATTCTGCCAGAATGCTGCTGGGAATTATCCTTCGCCTTTGAATGTTATGGCTCCTCCTCTCCCTAATTACTTCTTCCCATTTGGAATCCCAGACAGGCATTTGCAGAATCACGTAGAAAACAGAAAATCGATTCAGATAACTTTACCAATTTGGAAAGGAAAAAGGAAAAGCTTGATGGGATAAAAATATTAATAGTTATTGCTTTTTCTTTTGACTGTACCATTATTTCTCTTATTTTCACCCTGCTGGTTTAGACAAGGTCAATGTGAACCCACACCCGAGACTTGCTTTGTTCATTTTGTCCACTCAAAATGACAAGATGCTGCAGACATCAAATGAAACACATTTGTACTGTTAATTGAGATTTGATTTTCTGGCTGCCAGAGACAGAGCTAACGTGGATCTGCAGCTGCAGATGTCTACATCAACTGTATAAAGTCTCTAGAGTTAAACGAAACAGTGATGGAAAATACCAACCCGGCTTTCAATGGTGTCAGTGAGGAGGATGACATTATAGTCATATTTGCATTCAACATGCACAATAGAAGAATAAATTATTTGGACTTACAACTGTTCACTGTTAGTTTCATTGGCATTTTTTGAACAATCGTCCTTAATTTTGGAAATGCAGCAAAACAACAGTAATCATTCCGACTGTCTTTCTCTTCTACATTTGCAAAGTACAGATCTCCTTTTTGGCTCATGTACACTCTTTCATCTTGCTCAATGTGTTCTAGTTCTGAAAAGAAACCATTTTGTGACTGAAAGGGTCAACCACTCCTTAAAACTCTATCATCCTTTCATATTTTTATTCCTTTTATGTTAGTTGCTTTATCTGTTCCTTCTGTTTTCTCTTGTCTGGCATTCACACAAGAGCAATGAGTGAGCAAACCGCTATACATAAAAAACAATGAAAGTGCCTGGAAGCCTGACTTTGTGAGAAACCAAAGGAGCTCACAGATAGACAAGCACCAGAGCAGCGTCATCTCCCCTAACCATTAAGGTCTCTACCTGTGCTTTGGCTTATATGACAACTGGTTAATTCAGATAACAGTTTAATTATTACTTTCATTTTCTATGAATGACATTGCTCTAAATCAGGGCTCCCCCCAAGTGGTATCTGAAATACATAGCACCCTGTCTTGGATGCAGCCTCAGTAGCTCTAGGGTGAGTGAAGCCTGAAGCTTTGACTGAAGCCTAGAACAACTTCATTCACTTTCTTGCGGATGTTGTCTATATATCATGCTCCAACGTGGGCACATTGAGGAAACATCCAATGAGTGAGGATAAAGCATAGGTGATAAGAGGTTTTACCAGAAGCTAGGATTTTGTGCCAGGGATAATTGAAAAATTTTAGAAATGAAACATATTGAGGTTTTTGAAGGTCGTTGTCTTTAGCAGATAGAACTAAGCTAAAATAGAAATACTAAATGAACAACACAACACAAGCCATCCTCAACTGTAACATGACCTCTTTTCCAAAGGTAAGTAAGTTCGTAATATAAAAGGCATGTTTTTGATCGACTGTCTCACATCAGGACTTTTCATTATTTTCAAATAGTGTTAAAGCAGGGGTTACCCTTTATGGCCTTATGTTTTTGCATACATATTATATCAGTTTGTATTTGAACTAGGGACAAAATTTCAAATACATCTAAAGTAAAATTTATTTGATTCAGTGGGATAATCACATGAATATTTCCTTTGAGTATTTTGTGTAATTTACATAGATCATGGAATTAAAGTGGCCCTTGATAGGTAGAACAGAACATTCTTACCAATATTCATCCAGTAAATGTGCAAAGGTGGGAGGCCTTTGGGAGGGTTACACGGGAGGACAATGGGGTCACCTTCTTCTACTTCCAGAGGGTCAATTTTCTCTTTTGGAAATTTTGGAACACCTGGTATAAAGATCATTATAAGACATTACTTTAAAATAGACTTTTAATGCCAAAATTACTAATTTCCATGTTATTAACTGTTAATAATATTCTCCTATTTATAAAAAATGAGCAACTTTTAAAAATTCAGTGTTTCACATCCTTGTTCTCACATCTACCCTGCAGAGTTAAATATTCTTTAGGATCCTGATGGATCTTTGCACATTTTAAAGGTACTTCTGGGGCCTGTGAGATGGCTCGGCGGGTAAGGACACTTGCTGCAAGTCTGATGACCTGAGTTCAAGCCCTATAACCTACCTCCCAGAAGGAGAAAATTATACCCCCCAGTTGTCCTTTGACCTCCACAAGCATGGGCAGGCACACACACACACGCACACACACACACACACACACACACACACACACACACACACACACACACACGGGGGGGGAGAGAGAGAGAGAGAGAGAGAGAGAGAGAGAGAGAGAGATTAAAAACTATTTAAAGACACTTCTACATTGTGAAACTTTTCTCTGTGACATGATAAGGAATAGTGCTATGTGCATTTTTTTCTGAGTAAAGGTGTACACCACAGGCCATGCTCATCTTAGCTCCCCGAGATACAAAATAATGTTTTTTGAACACTGTGATTTCTTTCTGGAACTTTTATGTTGTCTGTCTCTGGCTTTACTGTAAAGGCCAATGCCTTTAGAGTGAGGCTGGCAAGCGTCCTGCTCAGAACATTAGCTATACTAAATAAGAAATTCAGAGTCACATGAGGAAATGGAAAGCAGGAAATGGGAATGAAGAGCCAGTATGATCACTTTAAGTTGCAAAGAGAGCCATCCACTTTGGAATAACCCCAGCAAATGAAATCTTAAATGAAATGGAATTGCTGTAGGAAAGGAAACTTTTCAATACTTCATTCTATTGTTTCTCTCTCACACTGGAATGAATTTTCTGAAACAGTGCTGCAACTGCAATGGGAATATAGTTCCAGTATTCACACTGTTTGAAATCCAACACCAATGCCCCATATTTGCATAAAATATTTATATTTATAAGGATATTAAAAATGTACTCTACCTGAATATTATACACCTGCCTTTCATCTTCACTGGGGGAACTTGCATTATAGAATCACACAGGTTCAGATGCAGGACAGTGATCATAAAATGGCACTTATAACAGGCCTGACCCAGTGGAAAGTTTTATCCGCTAGTCCGCTTTCATATTTTATTCTTAAATGTTAATTTATAATAAATTACTATTTTTCTTAGAAATCTAAAGACTATATATTTGTTTTCATCTTTATTTAAAATTATGTGCATGCATGACCAATCTCTCCCAAATTTCTCCAAAGAAGCTATTTCCCAAATATCTTCAAACACAATCCTACCCTTCAGGTTTTTAGGGCATTTGATGAAATTTGTTGTGTCCAGGCAACAGTTGGTTACAAAAAGAATTGCTTTTTGTCTAAATTCAAGGACTTTTCAAAGCTTAACAGTTTTTCAGGAGGCAGTGTGGTTATTATATAGAAAGAAAAGCTTCACTCTCTTTTCACATTTAGTCATGGTATGATCTCTTTGTGGATTCCCTAGTGGTCAACTAATTTATGTCAGACGCTGGAAACTCCGGAAAGATATGTGAAATGAAAGTCATTCTTGAACCATGTTTTTACTATAGAAAGCATGAAATTTCCATTAAAGGATGGGAAGGTATGTTTAGTACATTCACTGTATTAGGATTCCAAGATAAAATATGCCAGCTATTTAGGAAAGTCCTGGTATTGATCAATAGGAAATGTAACATAAGCTGTTTTGCAGGAAGCAGACCTTACACACACACACACACACACACACACACACACACACACACACACACACACACACACACACAAGAGAG